ATCCCTGTCAGAGCAGTTGGTAGAGGTAGCTGGGCACCATCTAGTTGTACTGGACTCAGTCTGGTGGAGGCTGTGGTAGTTGTGGTCCATTAGTCTTTTGGACTAATCTTTCCTTTGTGTATTTGGTTTTCTTCATTCCCCTTTGCTCCAGATGGTGTGGGATCAGTGGAGTATCTCAGATAGCCACTCACAAGCTTTTAAGACCCCAGAAACTACTCACCAAAGTAGGATGTAGAATATTTTCTTTATAAACTATGTTATGCCAATTGAGCTAGATGTCCCTCAAGACCATGGTCCCAGGCTGTCAACTCAGTAATTTGGCCCCTCAGGGAGTCTGGATGTGTCTATGAAGCTTCCATGATATTGCCTTGGTCAAATTGTGCTGGCTTCCCGAGTATTGTGTACTATCTTACCCTTCACCAGTTACCACTCATCTATTATCTATTTAGTGTTTTTCCCTCTCCCCATCTCCCTTCGGTTATAACCATCAAAGATTGTTTCTTTTCATGTGTAAACCTTTTTATAAGTTTTTATAATAGTAGTCTCACACAATATTTGTCCTTTTGTGATTGACTTATTTCACTCAGCATAATACCCTCCAGATTCATCCATGTTGTGAGATGTTTTGAAGATTCATCAACAATTTTTATGGTTGCATAGTACTCCATAATGTGTATATACCATAGTTTGCTTATCCATTCATCTGTTGATAGACACTTAGGTTGTTTCCATCTTTTTGCTATTGTGAATAATGCTGCAATGAACATGGGTGTGCATATGTCTATTTGTGTGATGGCTCTTATTTCACTGGAATATAGTCCTAGGAGTGGGATTGCTGGATAGTATGGTATGTCTATTTCTAGCTTTTTAAGGAAGCACCCTATCATTTTCCAAAATGGTTGTACCATTTTGCATTCCAACCAGCAGTGTATAAGAGTTCCAATCTCCCTGCAGCATCTCCAACATTTGTTATTTTCTGTTTTTTTGATTCATGCCAGTAATGTTGGGGTGAGACGGTATCTTATTGGGGTTTTGATTTGCATTTCTCTAATGGCTGGTGATCGTGAGCATTTCCTCATGTATCTGTTAGCCGCCTGAATGTCTTCTTTGGTGTCAGTTCATATCCTTTGCCCCTTTTTTAATTGAATTATTTGTCTTTTTGTTGTAGAGGTGTTCGATTTTCCTATAGATTTTAGAGATTAGACCTTTGTTGAATTTGTCATGGCCAAAAAAGTTTTCCCAGTCTGTAGATTCTCTTTTTACTCTTTTGGTGAAGTCTTTTGATGAGCATAAGTGTTTAATTTTTAGAAGATCCCGGTTATCTAACTTATCTTCTGGTGTTTGTGTACTGTTAGTTACAGTTTCTATTCTGTTTATGCCATGTATTAGGGCCTCTAGCATTGGCCCTATTTTTTCTTCCGTGATCTTTATAGTTTTTGGTTTATATTTAGGTCTTTGATCCATTTTGAATTAGTTTTTGTGTATGGTATGAAGTATGGGTCCTGTCTCGTTTTTTTGCAGATAGACATCCAGTTTTGTCAGCACCATTTGTTAAAAAGATTGTCTTTTCCCCACTTAAAGGACTTTGGGCCTTTGTTGAAGATCAGGTGACCATAGGTGGTTGGATTTACATCTGGGTTCTCAATTCTGTTCCATTGGTCAATGTGTCTGTCATTGTACCAGTACCAGGCTGTTTGACCATTATAGCTCTATAGTAGGTTCTGAGGTCAGGTAGTGTGAGTCCTCCTACTTTCTTCTTCTTCAGTAATGCTTTACTTATCTGGGGCCTCTTCCCTTTCTATATACAGTTAAAGATTAGTTTTTCTATCTCATTAAAGAATGCTGTTAGTATTTGGATCGGGATTGCACTGTACTTGTAGGTTGCTTTAGGTAGAATTGATATTTTCACAATGTTGAGTTTACCTATCCATGAGCATGGTTTTTTTTTCCATTTCTGTAGGTCTCTTTTGGTTTTTTTGCAGTAGTATTTTGTAGTTTTTTTTTGTATAGGTCTTTTACATCCCTGGTTAGATTTATTTCTAAGTATTTCATTTTTTTAAGGGCTATTATAAATGGGATTGCTTTCCTGATTTTCCTTTTGTAGTTCTCTTTATTGGTGTATAGGAATGTAACTGATTTTCGTATGGTTATTTTGTATTCTGCTACTCTGATGAATTTTCCAATTAGTTACAGTAGTTTTCTTGTGGAGTCTTTTGGGTTCTCTGTGTATAGTATCATATCATCTGCAAACAGGGATAGTTTTACTTCTTCCTTACCAATTTGGATGCCCTTTATTTCTTTTTTTTTGCCCTACTGCTCTAGCTAGAACTTCCAGCACAATATTAAATGTTGCTGTTGTTGTTAGGTGCTTTTGAGTAGGTTCCAACTCATAGTGACCCTACGTACAACAGAACAAAACACTGCCTGGTCCTGCACCATCCTCACAATCGTTGTTATGCTTGAGCCCATTGTTGCAGCCACTGTGTCAATCCATCTCGTTGAGGGTCTTCCTCTTTTTCACTGACTTTACTTTACCAAGTGCGATGTCCTTCTTCAGGGACTTGTCCCTCCTGATAACATGCCCAAAGTATGTGAGACGTAGTCCCACCATCCTTGCTTCTAGGGAGCACTCTGGCTATACTTCATCCAAGACAGACTTGTTTGTTCTTTTGGCAGTCCATGGTATATTAAATTTTCTTTGCCAACACCATAATTCAAAAGCATCAATTCTTCTTTATTGATGTCCATCAAGTCTTCCTTATTCATTATCCAGATTTTGCATGCATATGAGGTGATTGAAAACACTATGGCTTGAGTCGGGCACACCTTAGTCTTCAAGGTGACATCCTGGCTTTTTAACACTTTAAAGAGGTCTTTTGCAACAGATTTGCTCAATGCAATGCGTTGTTTGATTTCTTGAGCACTGCTTCCACGGGTGTTGATTGTGGATCCAAGTGAAATGAAATCCTTGACACCTTAAATCTTTTCTCCGTTTATCATGGTGTTGCTTATTGGCCCAGTTGTGAGGATTTTTATTTTCTTTATGTTGAGGTGTAATCCATACTGAAGGCTGTGGTCTTTGATCTTCATCAGTAAGTGCTTCAAGTCCTCTTCATTTTAAACAAGGCAGGTTGTTAATGAGTCTTCCTCTAATCCTGATGCCCTGTTCTTCTTTATGTAGTCCAGCTTCTCAGAGTGTTTGCTCAGCATACAGATTGAAAAAATATAGTGAAAGGATACAACCCTGATGCACACTTTTCCTTGCTTTATA